TATTTGTGTGTATACAGATATCTATAGATGTATACGTATATATACATGTGTGTATGTATATATATATATATATATGTAGATATATATATATAGATATATATATATTGACGTATATATTTCGAATATTGACTTTCGCGACTGTTATCATATGCATGTCTTGGGCTCTTGCCTGACAAGTCTGGTCTTGAAACGGCTCAGCCTATACGTTGTTCCGCCAAATCTTGTTCAGCGCCCGATGTCAGAAACGTCCGTTGGTGTTTGTTGACTGTGCCGTTAACTCTGTTGTCCACAACCGTGTGTACTCATCACCACAATATAAGCGAATGAGAATGCGTACGTTTATGCTAAAAATAGCTCCTACCTACACCCTCAGCGCACGATAACAGGAACGTGCGACTTGCCTTGGCAACTGTGCTGTTGAACGTGTCTGTGGGGATGACTCGTAAGGACATTGAACCGACCACTGAGCTCGTTATCCAGTGCCTGACACTTCTCGGCGATATAGTGCTCACAGAGAAGGATCCAGAGGTGAGAATCCATATATTAAATACCATATACACATATTGTATATTATATACACATATATTATATATTATATACACATATATTATATATTATATACACACATATTATATATGTGTATTTGTGTTATGGTATACCTTCCTGGCTTGGATGTCTTATCGACATCTTTATTACTCGTCTGGTGTCCAGCTCGCCAGTGTTGGTATTTGGAGTGTTACCAATTGTTTAGCCCTCAATTCCATAGTGATATTCATGTGTGCTGTATCTTTTGTATTTATGTGACTAGGATATCCATGAATATCAGAAATATACTCCATAATCTTACATCGTCTGCTATAAACTACCATGTTTACATGTGTATATGATATATCGATTTAAATACCATGTATATGAATAAGAACTGTTGGTTACAATCATGCCATAAAAATCTTAGTATTCTTTGACGATATGATGCACATTGAGTATATATATATATATATATATATATATATATGGATGTATGTATCTATGAATGTATAAATAACATATATATATATATATATATATGTGTGTGTGTAGTGTGTGTGTGTATGTGTGTGTGAGTAGTGTGTGTGTATTTGTATGTATATATGTATGTATATATATATATTTGTACGTACACTTCCATATTATTCATACACAAGTATTCCTTACACAGGTGCTATTCCGAGCGCTGGTTGCTTTGGGCACCTATACCTCACTCAGCACATCAATCCGTTCCATAGTATCGCAACTAGAGTTTGGTAAAGCGGTTGAGCTGATCTCGCGATCAGGCGGTGCTGAATTCAGTAATGTGCGGAAATGTGCGGATGCCGTGCTCAAAATGCTATAAAAAGCTTGTTACCATTCTATAAATAGATTTTCAAGGTATATATGCTTTGCTGGTCTCACACTCCCACCGTCAGTCGCTGTGTTAAGATCACCTACATCCCTAAGAATTCCAACGTTTGTCTTGAATCTTCGGCTGCCGGGTATACACTTAAATAGTTAGTACTGATAGGGGTGGCACTCTCTGAAGAGTTGAGTCTGCTATGTCTCCAGAAGGAACGATGCTCATGGTCCTACTAGTGACCCACGCTGTACAATATTTACGAGTGACTACGCTCGGGAGTTGTTGCCTGTGATGGTTTAAATATCCTATTGCAAATTGTTTCAGGCTGTGCCCCGTAAGCTTTATCTACAAATAGAATGCCAACCACGTTGTACTACTGAACCAGAATACATTATACAGTATAGTATTGTTAGGTTCATCATTTGATCGTATATTTGGGGAAGGAACGCTACATTCGATACTTGAACCGTTGGTTTGATCTCATGGACACTCCCGCCGGTGCTCGACTAGTTAGGATAGCTTCATGTTACAGATAGGAAATAGGAACATTAAAATGGGAACGTAAATAAATAAACCAAGGCGCTCTTCTGCAACTCAATATAACAAAGTCCATTATCAATATTAGCCGCAATTGACCACTTTATATATTTGCGACGACTGTTTTAGGTGTACAGGAAGTCTAAATTGAATAGTGAAATACTCTTTCGGACCTATCTTGAATTTTCACTTCCATCTCTCTAGTAAAGGGTCGGGCAAATATTGGGTTCTTTTTGTGTTGCAAATAATGGATATTGGACAATCCATTTCGCTGTGGACCAGTTTTATATTTTGCTACGACTGTTATACGTGCACAGGAAAAGGAAGTCTGAATTGGATAGTGAAATTTTGAGTTCCTTGTGTGTCGCAATTAGTAGGCACTATTTACAGAAGCCTTTCAGTTATGCCTATGTCCGATATGACGTACGTAATGCAATAATGAACATTCATGCACATCCATTGATTCGTGCATTTGCTCTATATTTCACGCATATATGTATTTACGTTGTGATCGCATCTGTTATGTTGCTTATTTTATATACTCAATGCACGTATGCCCTTTTTATTGTTTTTTCCTTGAATATGTGTTATTTGAGACATGGTGATAGAATGAAACTCGCAAGTAATAACGGATCACAAAAGCTCCTTCCCTGTCATTATCGCTTGTGCTGTCTGTACCGAGGGACGTGTCAACGACTATACGACATCTGCGAGTTTGAACACTGTACAAAGTATAATAGCTGCGGTGAAGGTCTCAAGACTAGCCACAAGTGTGCACAATATTTAGTTGCTTCACCACACTCCCCAATAGGTTGGAAGCATACGGCAAGGGCTTGTACATTCGTGCTTTCTACGAGCAATCCAACGGGACGTACGAATTGCTTGGCTAGAGATGAAGTTGGGGAGTGTGACACGTACAATGCTTTATGAAACATTGCTTTACGAAACATAACATTGCTTTATTAAACTAACTCAAATCCCCGAAAACGTACTAGACACCAAGGGATGCGCCGAGAAGGATCAAAGTAATGAGAGCAGCTGGTGCTACCAGGTTCAGCAGTTTATGACATTCCATGGATTGTGGTCAGTAATCACTCTGATCAGTGATTTGCCATAGATCCGACGATAACGTTTTTCAGTTAAATTTTATGAGACCATGAGACCGCGTTTTTTTTAATATTTATGAGACCGCGCGACGGAGCACACTAGTGGTAGCTGGTAGCTGGTAGCTGGTAGCTGGGGTGGTTTATAGCTATGCACCTACTGTGGCTACTGTACAAACAAACCTCGAACGCACAATCACTCTAAACTCCAGTCAGAAAGTGCATCTTTAAACAAATGCAGAGATTGGTCACATCCGCTAAACACAATAGACAATGTCGCGGAAACGAGTACGACAGAATATTCCATCGTTGCCCGAATCACTCGGCCCAACCCGCCGCTCGGGCGACGAACCAGATCAAAGCACTAATAGTAAACGGGCCAAGATAACAACATCGGTAGTTCCAAGAGGAACCCGGACACAGGACGATTGCGCTAGTGGTATGATTAGAATCAGCAGCTGTTGTCTTTGACGTTTAAGGGATATATATTTACAAACGTACTTGCGTGGATATGGAGATTTGAGTGAGCGATCGTGCTCTGATTTGATACTTGACCATCTTTTCACCAACATACGAACGAATTTCTCGTCTACGTCATGTGTGCATAATTGCTACTTTGTAACTATGCACTTGTGACTATGCAAATGTCATATATATA